AACTGTATAGTTAAAAATAGTTTTCTGCTTTTTTCTTTGTCCATTGTCACATAAATTACATTTACTCCGTAAGCTCTAAAATTTAATTCCAAGGAAAAAGATCTTACGTATATTATTTATTTGGCTATTTAATCAAAACAATTATTTTATTATCATTTTTAAATTAAATTATATTTATGTACCTATGACAATGTATTTTGTATTTTTTTAGGTTTCCCATGTGGATAAGAGCCTGTAGTCGAGAAGACTTGCTTAATATAACCAGTGAATAATTACACAAAAGCTACCAGTCGTGTAAAAACATTTCCAGCACAGTAGTTTTTCATTTGGATCAACTCGGAAATGTTTATTTGAAAATGTACTTCTGACAATATTCTGACACACACCCGCAACAAATGAAAACATTGATCATTCTGAATGAATATGTACCCTACTAAATCCTACGACGATTTTCTCAATACACCAGGTATTAAAAATAATATAAAAGTGTTGTTTATGTATTTTTTTAATTTAAATATTTTTTTTAGGTCCCAGCAAAAGAATGACCAACTTTGAAGACTCAAGAGATATTGTTGTTTCTATTTTGATAATGCATGTGCCATTCCCAAAAATATCCTTCGGTTGGGCCCCAATTTTTAAACCAACCATTTGCAGATTAGTTAAATCTCAAGCGGAATTTAAAAACAAAAAGCCTCTAGCTAGAAGACATTCCAATGAATACAAGCAGTTTGAACTTACCTTGTATTTTTTAGGACCTAGGGCATATTCCTTTGTCTAAAATTTTGTACTTTTTGATGTGTATTTTTCATATTGAGATTTTTATTAATTTGATTTTTGTAATATGTGTTTTTTATATTTTGGTTTATTAAAATTAATAGTCAGTATGAGTACGTGTTTTATTTATAACAACCTTCTTCCTACAGTACTTTTCTTCAATTCTCAATTTAATTCAAAGTTCTAATAATTATGCATCTAAAAATGCAAATTTGTGTGTACAACAAATTCATATGATTTATAAACAAATCCTAAGTCCAGTCTGGATTTATGAAATACAGATACGAGGATGTGCCATAATGTAAGTTTTCCAAAATAAAGTCCTAAGATGTATCATTGATGCACCCTGGCTCTATCTAAACGATTATCTTCATACAGACAAATAAGAAAAAGAGGTTACTGCAAAACATGAGGGTCGACTCCACTCCCACGTTAATGAAGTGCTGCAATTACTGGACAACTCTGCACAGAAGACTCGAAAGAAAGAAAAGCCATTTGAGCTAGTGCAGTGAACGTTAGTGCTAGTGTAAAATAGTGTAATAAATCGATACGCCAATTATTGATGATGCTTTTCTACCAACGACTACTAGCTTAATTTTGTTTACAAAAATGGAATTGTAAAAAATCACGGATTTCTCCACAGAGTTGTCAAATTATTATTAGAGAGTATGGCGAAAGTCTTATTACGAGGATTGTTTGTGGTATTATTGACTTATCATAAGGTTCTAAAACACATAAAAGGCTTTCAAAATGACAGTTGCGAAGTATATTTGCATTTTTAATGCCAGTTATTATCAGTTTAATCTATTTTTCTAGATCCAACTATCATAGTTGAAGGTGTTTTCCAGTAAAGTACACAATTAAATAATACATCAATAAATTGTAATAGAATCACTCTGTTAAAGAGTTAATGTTATCTAAAAAAACTGATGAATTAAGTACAACGAGCGTTCGGTCTGGTTCCTACGAAAGCTTCCTGGGGCCACTTTTTTTTATAAAAAAAAAATATTATTATGTCGCAATTGTGACTTATTATCTCACAATTGCGACATATTATCTCGCAATTGTGAGTTATTATCACGCAATTGTTACTTGTTATCACGCAATTGTGACTTACTATCTCGCAATTGCGACTTATTATCACGCAATTGTGACTTATTATCACGCAATTGTGACTTACTATCTCGTAATTGCAACTTATTATCACGCAATTGTGACTTATTATCACGCAATTATGACTTACTATCTCGCAATTGCGACTTATTATCTGTTTTCTATTTTTTTTTTTTTTTTTTTTTTTTTGTTTTTAGTGACAACTTGTCACGGTTTCAATACTAGTATTTTATTAAGTTATCTGTTTCACTTTTTAATAAACTATTTGCACTGAATGTTGTTTCAAATCGTACATCACTGTGTACATAGATGTGGTTGACTGTATAACAGCAGGCTTCACAGTGAACTAAGTTGCATTTTGTTTAAATTGCTATGATTTTGTTTTTACAACTATAGTGGTCCTTATAAATAAAATAATATAAGATATTCTTTAATTATATTTCGACATATTTTCAGAAATTTAACTACAATAGGAAATATATAACAGTATTCAAAAATTTGGATGGTTTTCTTTTGAACAACTGCCTACATAATGTTTGTTTTTTATAAATTTTAAAACTACCTAGGTAAGTTAAAAAATTATCATTAAAAAAAAACCAAAGTAGTTGTGTATTACTTTATTGCATATTAATAGGTTCATCCAATATTGCGAACAGTGTTTCCTTAGTATACCCCACCAAGACTCGCTGCGTTGATTACACTGACTGGTTCCATAGATGAAACTGTTATCATCTAAAAATTGATCTTCATTTTTAACAGCAGTTCCTCTCAAAAATTTTTGCATTTGTTCTACAGTTCCATTTTCAGTACCCATATCAGATCTAATTTTTCTTGGACACCCACCATATTTTTCAATATTCTTAAGAAAAAACCCGAAAACAAAAATTGCATCCAGTAATTACTGAAAAATATACCTATACCATTTTTCCTAGTGTTCCTTTTTACCCACCTGCAATTATTTTTGGATCATTCATATTCGAAGATGCTTTCAACCAAATGATAAACCTCGAGTATCCATCAATAGCGCCATTTATTCATATACCATATGGTTTTAGTTTATCATATGAGTCAAGATGCCATAAAAAATAGGACCAGTATTATTATATTGCCTTCTATGCAGTCTTCGTCTTGTTCTTAGCTCTACTCCAGAAGGATCTAAGTTTTGTAATATTAAACGAACCATATTCTGCAAAACAGAGAAACCATTTTGAATGCATTTCAAATGCATCCATCTATAGCCATGGAGTTGGGAAGAATTTTGTAACTGATGGTCTATAAAATTTACTAAAATATCAGCTCCACTGAAATATTTTTTTCTGAACAACTTGTTTTTGTTTAAAAGCCTCTTTAGTTGTCGTTTTAATATATTTGTTGAAAATCTCTCTTTCAGTATGTTTCGAATTTCACTATAATTACATCCATTTAAAAAAATAGTGCATAATAAGATTATTTCTTGATCTTGAATCCATCGTCTAGTGTTGCAAATATCTTAAAATATGGTTAAAATCGTAAAACAACTTATTAAATTATACATATGTTTAAATTCAAAATTCACCTGAAGCTACTACAAGCTCGAGAATGGAGAATCACTTCACTGTTATTTCACGAAACATTGACCAAAGCTCACCATTTTAAGCAGACATGTAACGGCAAAATAACTCACAATTGCGTGATAATAAGTCACAATTGCGTGATAATAAGTCATAATTGCGTGATAATAAGTCACAATTGCGTGATAATAAGTCACAATTGCGTAATAATAAGTCACAATTGCGTGATAATAAGTCGCAATTGCGAGATAGTAAGTCAAAATTGCGTGATAATATGTCACAATTGCGTGATAATAAGTCGCAATTGCGAGATAGTAAGTCACAATTGCGAGATAGTAAGTCACAATTGCGTGATAATAAGTCGCAATTGCGTGATAATAAGTCACAATTGCGTGATATTAAGTCGCAATTGCGAGATAGTAAGTCGCAATTGCGAGATAGTAAGTCACAATTGCGTGATAATAAGTAACAATTGCGTGATATTAACTCACAATTGCGTGCTAATAAGTCGTAATTGCGAGATAGTAAGTCACAATTGCGTGATAATAAGTCACAATTGCGTGATAATAAGTCGCAATTGTGAGATAATAAGTCACAATTGCGAGATAATAATATTTTTTTTCATAAAAAAAGTGGCCCCAGGAAGCTTTCGTAGGTTTCTCAAGTAAAAACTCTTTTTTAGTATAGCGATCAGTACAATTTACTTCAAAATAAATTATTGTGAAGCCTTATTTTTCTAATTATATCACTTACCTTCAATTTAGAGAAGAAATAGTGGATGTTGCTAAATAAGTTTGTTACATATATTTAAATCCTTTTCTCAGTGTATTATCCGAATTTATAAGAATCTTGGTAATTTTTACCGGCAAGGACGTCAACTGTCACCGAGTGTCACTTTAAATTTTGGCCACCCCGACATCAAAAGTGCCGACGCAAGCCTTCACTTCTGTAATATTATTGTGTGGCCAGAGTACGTAACTAATATACTAGATGTCTTTTTCTTTTTTTCTAACGGTTGTTTGACGAGTTAATATTACTTAACTTTTACTTAATTTGTACACTGTCTACAATTCTTTTGAGAGTCCTGATGATGCCTTAATCGGCAAAATTTTTAAAATAAATAAAATTGTTTAAACAATTTCTCCTATACACTTAATACAAAATCTTTCATTTTACCCTACTACTCAGTGTGTACACCCCTACAGTCCCATTAGTTATAACTGTTAACTTAAATCACAATTTGGTTTTTTATCAGTTAAACTTTTTGTTATTAGTTATAACCAGCTCTGGTTAAAATATAAACATATTTTATGTTTGGTATTTAACTACTTTTTCAAATAATTTTATGTAGCTCTTGTAGGTAATTTATTTTTATTTAAGAGTGTTTCTTAAATTTCAAATTTCATAATTCTAGGTCAAAGGGAACACCATAATTTTCGTCACTATAGATTATTTTGAACGTAATTTCAAATACTACGAATTTTAATGAATTCCATACCTGATAAGCAATTCTGTATATAAGAGTTAACACTAATTATTTAAGTTTAATTACGTGTAACAAAACGTGCAAACAGACCCGGTAGTACAATGAGTAAGTATAAGTACTTCAAATATGTGATAAATCTTTGAATATATTAAAAAAATTTATAAGAATCAGGGCCAAAGTAATTAGGAGCACCGGAATATTTTTAACATTATTTATCTTGGGCGAGGGTAGACAAATTAAGTTTAAATGTGTAATTTACCTCATTTAAAATAATTTTTCATTGTAAAACTGAAGGGATGGTTATACTATACATTTATCAATTTATTTTCCAGTCACTTTGTATATCATAAACTAGCTGCCCTAAATAGTTATTTCTACAAAGCCTTCATTATCTTTGTCTCAAAAATCATCCACCAATCAAATTAATTTAATTTGACAAATAGTTGTTAAAACAATAACTTTTTGAATTATATCATAAATTTATGAAACATCCCATCCATTTAGGGTCCTTACAGCTTATTTCTGAATTTTTGTTTGTTTTCCGTAGAATGTTGGTATTACAAGTGTAGTTTTATTTACAATTAAAAAAAAACAAAAAAAAGTTAACAATAACATAGAGATGTATAAGAGTATACATTGGTTAAATACTTTTTAAAAATATTTTGCAATTTTGTATCATTCTCTTGTAGTAATCAATTATTGTAAGCATAATTGTAAGCCTGCTTGTAACTACCCAGTTAATATTATTTTGGTAAATGTTAAATGTTAAATGTTCATATTTACTTAAAACATTTGTCAATTTTTTTGTGGATGTATCTGTATGACATAATTTAATTAAACTATGTCTAATTTTGTTTTACTACAACTTTTAATGTGATACTATACAGGATGTCACACAATTAAAACAACATTTTTAACTGGAACTTTAAAATGTTACAACTATTAGACTTTGATGATGGCTTTTCGTCGAAAACGCTTGACCAAATTTTATTAAATAACAAAGTATATTTCATTCACCTGTTTAATATTTGGCTTAATTAAGTAATAATTCGACTTTTAATATTTCTAATACATTTTTAATATTTTAGGTTTGAGTTCTAGAGAAGACGGTTTAGGAGAACTATTATTCAAATGTTTACAGAAATATGATAAAAGAGTATTACAGGTAATTTAATTATAAAGTAGACTAAATTAAACAATTTTTTTACAACACTACCCCTTCTTATTTATTGTATTGTATTTTTAGTGTTTCCTTTTTGATTGTAACTATTTTTTCTAACCCTTTGCTATTCTATTATCATCCATGCTATCTGACACTATATGAGATTCGCTGCAATATACAAAGTAATTTGAAAGTTGAGTGTATTTTTATATGTCTTGATTTGGATTGGGGTAAAAGAGAGAATCGAAGTACGTGGGTAAACCTTAGACTTACCTAGTCTAAAGGGTAAACCTGATTTGACGATCCAAAATGTAAAAAATAAAAAATAAATAAAAGCCGCATTTCCACGACACTTCCGTACACAAATATGATATGACGTAATTACTGTCATAAGTGTGTGACCCATTCACCAATAAAGTTTAAAAAAAAAATACAAATCTTTAAAAGACAACCAATCAAGCCTTAAATTACCCAAAACAAAAGCACGTCACTACGTGGAATGAATGATAATGGTTGAATGAGACAGAGTAGAGCATCCAAATGGTGGCTTAATAAGCCACCTACGCTTCAGTGCCGCCATGAGAACCCCAAGAGATGGGAAAAGAGGTGGAGTCCGCCGGAACCCCTTAGGGGAACAAAGGAATACCCGAAAGGGTTAAAAAAACTACTCAAATTAGTTCTTTAAAAGATGTTTTAAAAATTTTTAATAAGTTATTTGATGACAGCAATATAGAAAAAATGTCTGAGGTTTCACAGATGACAAGGCATAGCTATCTAGTGAAGTCAATATCCGTGCCGCAGCATACAAAATAAACTCAATATTGTATTTTAAAATCACTAATATTTAAAACACTAAAATCCAAAAATTCTGAAAATTTTCGGCTGAAAAAAATTATAAAGTAAAAACGGCAAGTCTGCCTAGAGACCTAGAGTCTAGAGTTGTCGTGTCTGCAAATACATATGTATCTGTAGTGTGGAGAGTGGGTTATCCCACGGCACTTATGCCCCACCAAGCCCATTGTGCATCCTCCTATGATGATAGGTAGGTACCTCTTAGCTCGTGAGCCAACTTATAGATTTAATGTCGTTGACAACGTCGCCTAGAGACGCTTCTCTTATATCGGCCGGTGTTAGCCGATACTCGCCGAACACAAATCTTCTAATAAATGAGAGCGTCGAGCACTTGTAGATAGTATGCTCGATTGTCTCATCTTCTTGTTTGCACCCCCTGCAGAGTGTCGAATCGGACAGCTCCATGAAATGGAGATGCTTTCGAACTTGGCAATGACCAGTCAAAATGCATGTGACCAGGCGCAGATTCTGTCTAGTCAAAGTCAAGTATTTGTTTGCTATAGTGTTATTAGGGATAATTTGTCAGTGTCATAGAAGGGCCAGGTCCAAAAAGTATTTGGTTGGCTGCCTTCTTGGCCAGTGAATCAGCAAGACGGTGACTAGTGCTTGTCTGCTGTCTGTATAGTTAAGCTTGTTTCTTCCAATGATATTGTTTCTGGTGATTTCTTTTGTTGCTATATGAATCCCAGTAAACTCTGACACTATTACTCACAGCCCATTTTATGTATAGGTTTAAGGATCTGGACTATATTCCACATCCTGGGTCGTGTTTTGTTTTAGAACCGTCGGTGTAGATATGAATCGTACGTGCCACTTCCGGCTCATCTATTTCTTATGGTATAACTTTATATGGCTTATGGAAGACATATCTCGGTGAGAAGGAGTCCATGTTCGCTTAAAGCAGACAACTGCACCGTATAGATCTTATAATGGCTGTGTAAGTCCTTGCGACGGGTCTGGAGAAGAAACCCCAGGTGTGCTCTATGGTTAGGCAGTACTGTTTATAAGCAATGTATGCTCTTTTGACTTTGTTTTCTAAGTGTGAGTTCCATGAACTTGTTGTCAAAGGTGAGAAGTAGATATCTGTTGCAAAGTTTAGTTTTGTGTTTAGAGTTCTGGAGGTTTTAATTAAATTTTTATCCTTTTCCTTGTAAAAAAGATAATTTCTGTGTTTTTGGGATTAATAGACAGTAAATGGTCTGTTCTGTAGTATTGAAAGATACTTGTATTTTTTCGCAGAGTATGCTTTCAAAATTCCTTGTTTGTAGAATGACCAGGTCATCTGCATACGCTATTAAGTAGTGATTATCATTATTGAAGCGGTTGATGAGGGTGTCGAGAAATATGTTCCACAGTAAAGGTGATAGCACCCCTCCCTCTGTTCATCCTCTCGTGACCAAGTCTCTTTTATTCACATCCTTTACATTTATGTTTACTGGTCGCTTTTAGAGCATGGTATGTATCCACCCACTAACAATCTGTGAAACATTTCTGTTGGCTAGTGTGTGTTTTATCTCGTGGAAGGTGGTTTTATCAAATACGCCTTCTATGTCTACGAAAATACCCAAATTGGGCTCCTTATTGTCCAAGGATCTCTCTATCCCACCAGCAACTAGGTGAAGTTCTGAATCAGTATATCTATCTGATGTGTATGCATGTTGATTTAGGTGTAATGGTGTTGTTGCAATCACCGCATGCCTTATGTAACTTTCGCATAGCCTTTCCAATGTCTTCATGGCAAAAAATGTGATTAATTGGACGGTATGTTTTTAGGACAGTGTAATCCATCCTTCCAGGTTTGGATAGTCGTCTAGTCATGTTGGACCAGCCTCAGGGGACAGGATTTCTTATAGGCATTGTTTATTGTGCTTTTGATATTGTTCGAGTACTTTTTGAAATCATTGTTATTGTTTTATGTTTCGGCCTCCACCTAATTCAGAGCTCCTTAGAGAAGGTGGGCATTGCCCTGTTCGTCTTCCTAGGGTTCCGACATAACGTGGAGGTCGGCAATATCAAGTTTATTTTGAATGTTAACCTGCGGTGGTCTGACATAGAAATGTTATCAGATACTTGCCAGTTTACTATATTATTTAATGATACGAGTACCATCAGTAAAAATAGTCTCATAATATTTGGAAATATCATCATCTAAAAAGTGTAGCTTGCAAAGAGCCCCATCTCTAGAAAGTGCATTATCAACCCTGAGGATCATATGCTGCCACTGTTTTAAACATTTAGGATACTATAAAAGAACATTTACAATGATATTATTATTATTGCAGTAGTAACTCTAACTCATACATCAAAACTTAAGAAAAAATTAATTTTCTAGTAAGTTAAATTTAATGTATAAATTTTGTTAATTGTAAGTCAGGATTTATGACTGTAAAATTTTATATTATAGAAATTTGTAATAAAATAAACTAAACTCTGTAAGATACGAGTTGTAACTAGTTTACAATAAATATTGTATGTAGAAATAAATAAATAATTTTATTTACATTAGTAGCTTTAAAAAGACTAAGTTGATTTCTCCTTGTGGTTTCTTTAGTTTTAGTAGTTTTGCATCTGATTTATATTCCGTTTATCAACCTGAAACGAAGTAAATCTTGCTTTGATGTTTTTTGTTACTCATGTTACTTGTACTCAGATACTTTTTTTCACATTATTTTGATCCTTTTAACCAATTTAAAAAACACCGTGTTTCCCATTACCTTACATAAAAAATAAACATCACTAACGTACGACCCATCAACTTACAGCCAATTTGGCAAAATATTTAAAAGAAAGGAAGTTTAAAATTGGACGATTGCCGATTTGTCTACTTCTCTCTACTCTTCATAATCTTTACGTATAATAATTTCTTTTAACTTATCTTTTATTTCTAGACTACTCTTACCACCTGTTACATAAGTTTAAATTCTTTTTTGCATGTTATTTGCATATTCTTTCCAAATAAAGAGGTTTTCCTGGAAAGTTCAAATTTAATACGAGTACATAAAATTATTAAATTAACACCTAATAAATAATTTATAGTTTTTAGATGACACAAATGACGTTAACACATTCTCAGATATTCTTACAAGAAGTGTCAGGACAGCAATTAAACTTAAACAGGATGGAATTAGTCGAGGTGATATTGTTTCCAGCTGTACCCACAGTCACAAAAACTCTATTATTCCATTCATTGCTACACAGTTTTTAGGTGCAATTTCAACAACTTTTGATGAAAATTTACCTCCATTAGATACTGTACACTTATTAAAACTGGTTCAACCCAAGATCCTGTTTGTTTCCGAAAATAGCCTAGAATTTATAGAAAAGTGTTTACATAAAGCAAATATTAATACAAAGTTAGTAGTATTTGGCGCTAGTAAAGAATATACTGAATTTTCGAAATATGTGGAACCTTGCCATGAAGAAGAACAATTTTATCCAGTTCAAATTGAAAACCAAAAGGATGTAGCTGTGATTGTTTTTAGTAGTGGCACAACTGGTTTACCTAAAGGAATTTGTTTGCATCACACGCCTTTGAAAAATGTAACTAATCTAATTTTTAATAAATCAGATACTTACAATGAAGAAAAAAATGTTTTGCTATTGTATGCCTCGCTTTATTGGAATAGTGGTATAAATGCTTTAATCAAAGCTATAACTAATGGATGCTCTTTGGTCACTTGCAAACGATATGATCCAGCTCATTCGTGGAAACTTATTGAAAAATATAAGGTAAACACTAAAAATAGCTCATAAATGACCCACTTGATTTATAATAATTCTACATAAACAACACGTACCAGGATCTAATTATGAAGGACGCCTGGATATAATTGAGGAACCGTTTATCGTATGAATGTGATTTTTTTAAACTAGTTCTTAACTTCACCTTAACGCTCATGGTTCAACGATAAAAACTAAATTTAAAAAAAAATATCAAATTTAAAAAATTTAAAAAATTTAAAAAATTTAAAAAATTTAAAAAATTTAAAAAATTTAAAAAATTTAAAAAATTTAAAAAATTTAAAAAATTTAAAAAATTTAAAAAATTTAAAAAATTTAAAAAATTTAAAAAATTTAAAAAATTTAAAAAATTTAAAAAATTTAAAAAATTTAAAAAATTTAAAAAATTTAAAAAATTTAAAAAATTTAAAAAATTTAAAAAATTTAAAAAATTTAAAAAATTTAAAAAATTTAAAAAATTTAAAAAATTTAAAAAATTTAAAAAATTTAAAAAATTTAAAAAATTTAAAAAATTTAAAAAATTTAAAAAATTTAAAAAATTTAAAAAATTTAAAAAATTTAAAAAATTTAAAAAATTTTAAAAATTTAAAAAATTTAAAAAATTTAAAAAATTTAAAAAATTTAAAAAATTTTAAAAATTTAAAAAATTTTAAAAATTTAAAAAATTCAAAAAATTTAAAAAATTTAAAAAATTTAAAAAATTTAAAAAATTTAAAAAATTTGAAAAATTTAAAAAATTTAAAAAATTTAAAAAATTTAAAAAAATTAAAAAATTTAAAAAATTTAAAAAATTTTAAAAATAAAAAAAAATTCACAATTTTGAATACACTTTCGTTTATTTGTTTATTCATCTAGTAAAGAAGTTATAATTCACTTGACCATTTTTACGTTTAAAATTATTTTACCATAAAACACATAACCTGAGGGCCGGCGGCGTTCCTTCTTATTTGCACACCCAGTACATAATACACAAGCAAACTATAAATACATTATTTGTTACTATAATTCAAGACTAAACTTAAAAAATCTCTTCACAAATAATTTCAAATTCGTGATATTTTAGAATAAAACTTTCCACAATAATTATTCCGCTGCTATTTCAAATTACTAAAACAAATACTATAACTTCAATATTTGACCAATGCATTTTCTTGGTTTATATAGCCTATGAATATATTATTTTCAGCAAGATTTTATGGACGACAAATGTGCTCTTTCTTAAAGATAACCAAATAATGTTTATCTTCTCGCACGCAGAGAAATAAAATATAAATTAAAAAAAAAGCAATTTTCGCCCATACCCGGGTTTGAACCTAAGATCTTTGCGTTATGAGCGAGCCCGAAACCCTAACCACTACACCAATTCAGCACATAACACCAGTTTAATATATGTATACTTAAACTGTATGTTGTACCTAATGTCATTATACAGGTTAATTCACTATTTTAGAAATAAATGCGCTTGTAGAAAAATTGTTGATCGTAACACGTGCTAGAAGCACTTTTAGCACTTGTTGCGATAACTACTATATCGCTATCAATCATTGTTTATAAATACCCATTTTTCATAAGTTTTGGTGTAAATTATATCCAAGACACAGACATCATACACTGAATATTATCAAGCTACGTAACAGTCCTTCTCATCAAAGAAATGCATATTTCCAACACCCGAACCAAAAACAAAATGCTAGATTAATATTCATCTAATTTTTTTCCACATTATATGCTTGTATATGTCAATCTATTCTACTGAAATTATGTATTAAATAAAATAAAAGATAACCTACTTTATAGAACACATATTATATTCCAGGTTACATTTATGTTCCTACCATCTTATGACGCCAAAGATTTTTTACACCACAAACCAAAAAACGTTGATACAAGTAGTTTAAAAATATTTTTAACTGGAGCCTGTGCTGTCTCGGAGAAATTAATGGAAGGTTTGATAGAAGCTTTGCCCCATACTAGAATTATTCAAAATTATGGTAGCACTGAAACAATAACGGCCACTTTGTTTAATCCAATGAATGATGAAGAATATAAAATGCAACTTTTAAAACCAACGTCTTGTGGCAAAATGGTTTCCAATTTTAAGTGGAAAGTTAGTCAAAATTAACAATAACTCTTTTAATCATTCATTTTTTTAAAACTATATTAGATATTAAACATGACCTGAAGAAAGTTAACCCAATATACTTTGAAATTTTTATAAATACATGTTTTAGGTTGTAGATATTAACAGCGAAAAACTTCTTGGTCCAAACGAACAAGGTGAAATCAGAGTTAAAGGTGAATATATGACGACGGGATACTACAAAATGGATTATTCTGCTGCCTTCGACCTAGATGGATATTTAAAAACTGGAGATTTAGCTTATTATGATGAAGATGAGTGTTTTTACATTGTTGGTAGAATAAAAGAAATATTTAAATACAGAGGATGGCACATTATTCCTGCGATAATCGTAGAAGTACTAACATCGCACCCTGCAGTAAGGGAAGCTGCAATAGTGGGAGTACCACATGAAATTGATTTAGCCCATCCAATGGGAGTTGTAGTATTAAATAAGGGATATGATCATATAAATACAGCTACTATTGTTAATTTTGTTAATGAGAGAGTTTCTGAAAGTCAAAAGTTAAGAGCTGGTGTTATAATTGTGGACAATATTCCAAAAACTATAACTGGAAAAATAAAAAGTCGATTCTTAAAAGAGATTGTTTCTAATAACTATATCCAGTAATATTATTTAATAATAATCGTAGTAAAATAATTCCAATCGGAAAGTCCGGTAAATATTATAATTATTTTTTAGATGTAAAATAAGTAAAGTTATCCAGAAAATACCTCTTTAATAAAAATCTCACTAAAAGGCGCAGTATACTTATTTTTTTCATGAGATCTTGGGATATACTATTTCCATATTACAGCTAAGCCATTAAAAATGTATTTTGTAAATACTTATCTTGTCTTATTTATAATGAATAAGTAGACTGGGAGTGATTTATACACTAATGGTGAAATGAGGCATCAAACCTAAGTTAATCCTTTGATTAGGTATAACATTAATACGACGCTTGTCACCTATTGCGTCGTTGTAGACGAGTTTATAAATAATTTAAATAATATGTAGTAATATTAATATTATACCTAAACAAGGAATTAACTTAGCTTTGGTGCATTTTATTGTATTTACTGCACGACTCAAATGTGTAACTTTTAATAAAATATTTTAAATTTTTACACACTGAAGTATTCATTCCACTTTCATCTATCTTATTTATAATAGTCTTAGTTTATTATTTTATTAAAAAATAAGCTTTACTTTATTACTTATCTTTACACAATCACCAGTCATAAGGACCAGGAGATTTAACGCCTCTGCCGATGTCATTAGAGATTCGAACCGAGCAGCGTGTCTATTTCTAGCTAATAACGTCGCTCAGACGGTGAAGGTGGTGGATAGTTTGTCAAAATTTTGGAAATAGTAGATAAATTGAAAGGCAACAACTAAGTTCATATATTGACAAAACTATGATTTTATTTCCCCACAAATCCAGTAAATGAGGTAAGAAATAAAATATAAACCTCAAACTTATGTTTCTTTATAATTAATTTACCCAAATATATGCAAAGATTTACAATTTTAAATTATTGGGAAAGAAACTAATTTTATAAATATATATGTATAAATATGTATGTCATTAAACAAGTTAATCAAAATTTATGTTTAAGAACTATCTTATTAAAAATACAATATTATCCTACAGCTTATCATGAACTCATTACCAAGTAAACTAAATATCTAGAGAAAGTAGGAAATTAACTCATATGTCATATGCTTAAACCCAGAACGAATATTAAATTCATCAATAGATGGCACGGTAAGTCGTCAGCATGGTACCAAGCGAAGGACAATACACGCAAGATGATAAGTAATAAAAATTTAACTTAACCAGTAATATATCAATTTCTAGTTTTTTTACAACTCAACAATAAAAATAAAACAAAAAGAATAACTAAAAAAGAAAAATTATAAAGCAATATGTTCGCATTCGTAACTACGAAAACAACAATTATTAATGTTGAGACTCAATATACTATTAAGCTTTCAATTTGGATAATGTTACTTGCTTAACTTTTAGTTAATACCTATTTACTTACAAAAGTCCCATATTGGAAGAGGTTTATTGAATCTCTGCTTTTCATACAGGCCTCATGAGACAGCTTAATTTTTCTCTAAGTCTTATTTTTAAAACAAAGATGACATCAAAAAAATTAAATATAGAACGTAGCCCTTAAGTCTCGAAGTATTTATGGTCAATGGTTAGACTGAGACAATTAGTTCTTGGTTAACTAAATTTTAAAATAATATATCGTACTTGGCTAATACTTAAATCACTAAGTGCCTAATTAATTAAATTATGAAATAATATTTATTAACACAAAAGTTATTAAAGAAAAACCCACTAACATATTATGTGTGCAAAAGTATAAATAAAGTTGAAAATAGTTTAGATACTTAAAAAAAGGTAAAATGTTTAAATCAACAAACTACCAGGCATAGTGCCCCTTAATATAATATAAAACACCTGATAGTAGGGTGTCGCCAATAACAGCATCACCATCACCATCATCGCCTTCCCATCCAGATAAAGTAACATCTATGTAAAACTATTGAAATAGTAAGTTAGGTGACTAATAAACCAATGGATCACGAATATATGACCAGGGTTCTGGTAAACCGGTGTTCTGTATCCCCACGATTAAAGTCAGGAGTGAAACTATCGGAGACAACCCTTAAAATATAAACAAAATGTTTTAATCCAAAATTTACTTGCCTTATTTGTCTTAATCCAATAAAAAGTCAAATAAGCATATAAGACTATAGTTTTCTTAGTCGTGAATTAAAATATTTTTAAGGATATATAGGCGCCAATAACTCGTTTTTATTTTTTAAAAACAAGTTGAAAATTACCAAAATAACAAAATTAACTGATTAACTCAGAATTATATATAATTTAAGCAAAAAGAGAATTTTAACCACTAAAAATAAGACTTAAATAGAAAATAAATACATTTCTTTATTATTTAACAGTGGAAATGTTGAATTGAACAATTGTAATGGATATTTTTACCTGTTGGCGTTAATCGTCTATCATTTAATACATAAAAAATAAAATAGGCACATACAACCTCACTATTCACTAGATCAGCACCTCAGCTACAGTGTGGTGATCAGAATGCTGATTATCTGCGATTCAACTCAACAAGTTGACATTAATTCTTTGATGTAATTCAATTACATCACGGTACGGCTTAGGTATTTACGAATCGTAGACTGCCAAATATTCGCTCTCTAACCAAAAATAAATTCTGTTTTTTACGAGACCCATACAAAGATACAAGTTAAACTTTCCAATAATTGCTTTTAAAATTTCTAACCATTTAAAAATTAATTAATACATCTACTTTTTCATAGTACTAAAAATTAATATTAACAATATAAAATTCCAGCAACATAAAAGGAATTAATAAACACATATCGAATAATTTCAAATTGATTCTCAAAAATTAAACTTATAATTAAATAAAAGGTAGAAATGTAAAGACTAATCAGATTTTTCAATGACATTAAAAACTTGCCGCTATTGCAGTCTAGGTACTTGTTTTAAGGTCAATGATTGAATTACAAAAGAAACCAGATATATAAATTTAAACTTGGCTTCGCGAAAAATGAATTCCCTCCTACGAAAAATCTGCCTTTCTCCGCAACGTTGACTGCGCCGAAAATAAATCTAAATCATTTTAATACAAATCAATCTATTTATACGGGATTGCACTCATTTGAAATAACATGTTTAAAAGATTATTTTTAGAAGGTTACAATATGTAAACTGGAAATTATTAAGAACCTAGGACGAATTAAAAATTGCATTGATCCGCCATAAGGGGCCATAAACAGTATTATGCACTCAAATAACTAAAATTATGGTGCATTAAACAACATAAAAACAATCGACAATCAATAGGTGATTAATAATATTAACAAAAATAGACAAATCGTACCTTTTTCGCAAAGGGTTCAACTGGTCACTTTCCAAGGTTGAAAAAAAAGCCACTGGTTAACAGAAACCATTCTTGAAGAATCCATTTCAATATTCAATATTTTAATGAAGATGGACTTCCCTATATAAAACAACATATTAGTTACTCAAAAACTATCGTTGTCTTGTCTACTACTTTTATAGGACAAGCCGAGTGGATTCAAAAAACATCCTCATAAAAATTATTTAACAATATGTCTTACCGACCATTTACGAGAGACTAACCTAAAAGATTCCAAGAAACTGACAAAAATATTACTATGTTCAATAAAACAATTCTAAAAATTGATCTCCTGACAAAAATCTATCTAAAACCTGATTGCGAAAAATCTTTTAACATTAATTACTACAAACGATGTTCGCGAAAAAAACCCGTAGCGTGTACGTACACTATGCAGACTGCAATTAATAACGAACGTATTTCGAACACCGAATCGCACCTTTGACACAGACCGTAAAACGTTAAATCGCCTATTATGAAGTTTACATTATCTGAGAAACGGAACAAAACCTAAATGACGTCTAATGCATGATTATCTCAATGACATATATAGATTAATAGACTGCTCATCCATATATAAACAAGACGACGAAAAGCGGGTCATATTGCTTGGCTTGCCGAGTGCTCACCAGGCAGAATCGGTCTGGCCCAAATGAGTTTAAAACTCATATTTCATCAAAGTAGGAATTGAAATAAAAAAAAAATTATCTGTATGTTTATTTCAAGACAGGAGCTTGGGTAGGTATTTTAAAAAAGGATTTTGAGTCGTAACGTCTAGTTTCCCAATTTTCAAAACATTTTACTAGATCTAACTAATTTTGAACATAGATATAAACAATTTTACACTCATGTGTATATAACTAACTTTAGACCACGACTACTGTATAGTGGCACTATTCGGACACTTGATTATTCTTTTAAAATGTATGCAAAAATTGAATGAACTTTTTAAAGATTTTACTAAAAGTTAGTAGCATTTTCAGATTCTAAAGTGTGTCCCCTTTAGACCATTAAGGATTATTTTGTCGGTGAATGTGAATGATTTGATGAATAATAATAAAATTCCACCAGTGGAAATCTGATCAACATCATAGTAAAATGGACTAGGTACAAAGTGCAATCTTAGTTGACGTCAAGATCCGGGTACCTTAGCATCGGTAAGGGGGAAAGAAAGATTCTGACTTACAATCACAAAAAGAACTTACAACTAAGCTTAGTCGATGTAAGTTAGCTCAGATTAGTGGTAAAAAGAAAGCGACTATTAATAAAAAGAAAAGTAATCCAGCTAAAACAAGAATTACGGCTACTGTCTTTAATAAAATTATATGTTGCCAGTACTAGTAGAATGTTAAGTGTTGAGTTATCTTCTTCAGGCAATGGATGTACGTATGCATAATTTAAAATGGTTAATTATTATTGTGTTTAATGTGTTTTTGCAGTTAATGAACATATATCTACTACTGAAGGAAATAATGAAGATTTGTGTGCTGCTGAAGAGCTTTGGTTGATTTACAAAACTGGGATCGATTGTTCAACACAAGTGAAGAGTGGTGATTTAGTTGATCCGTTTTCAAACAGAATTGTTAGGGCTAAAGAACTATCTACTTTAATAGGATTGCAATCCTTCCAGTTATTAGCCACCATTGTGGAATTAGTGGCAGAGTTGTTTCTAATGAATAGGAAAAAGGAGATCAGTTATGTCTGTAAAGGATCAAGTTATATTTACTTTTATGAAGTTGAAAACTGATATGCAAGATATAATGTTCTATCCATTTTATTTGGAATGAATGAAACTTTTTATCGTTAAATTTATTAACAGTTTTTAATAAAACTGGTAGAAGTTCTTAGTATGGTATAATTTGGCCTTCAAAACAAGAAATATTAAATAATGTGCCTCTATGTAAGTAAGAGTACTACTTGATTGTACTGAAATCTCAATACAGCAAGCCAAATGTCTTTGTTGTAGACTAAAAAATTACTCTGACTACAAAAAGAGGAATACTATTAAAATATTGACTGGAGTGTCACCTACTGGTCTCATTACTTATAAAAGTGAAGAATATGGTGGTAAACTTCAGAAATAGACATTTTTTAACAAAGTT